ACAATTATACTCACCTAGATGGATGCAGTATTGATCCGATGCTGCAGCTGTCCCCTGCCAGCTCTACAATGAGAACTGAGCAATCAAAGATGATGATCACTCAGTTCTCAGGTCCGCTGTGAGCACAGAGTTATGAATGTCAGTCACTGCTCTGTGCTCTGCCCCTTCAGTACTCACTGGACCACAGGGCTGTTTAGGGACCTGAGAGTGATTATCTAAGACTCTCAGTGACATGCTGAGAGGCTGAGCTAGCTGCCAGTCAGGCATTTTGGCAGATCGCTACATTGTCTGGATCCCTACAGAGCCTGGACTGGTTCAGGGACGTCAGCTGATAGAGGGCTTTAGTTCGCTGTTGGCTGAATCTGGGTCACGAGTGTGACCCACAGAAGAATCATAGCCAAAAGAGCTATCATGTAAGCTCATTCAAAATGGTGGCAGTGAGGGCTGGCAGGCATGGTGTGTGTGAGAAGACAACATCGCTTCCTCTCAGAGCGCCAGAATTGTAGCGATAGCTGTCAGTTGTTTTAAAAAAGATACATAAAGTGAAGGAAATAGGTATTTGATCCCCTGCTGATTTTGAATGTTTGCCCACTCACAAAGAAATGATCAGTCTAAAAATCGAATGGTAGGTGTATTGTAACACTGAGAGACAAAATAGCAACAAAAAATTCAAAAGAAATGCATGTCTAACAAATGATGCACTGATTTGCATGTTCATGGGGGAAATAAGTATTTGATCCCCTATCATTCAGCAGGATTTCTGGCTACCAGGTGTCTTTCATACAGGTAACAAGCTGAGATTAGAAGCAGTCTCTTAAAGGGAGTGCTGCTAATCTCATTTTGTTATCTGTATAAAAGACACCTGTCCACAGGAGCAATAAAACAGATTCCAAACTCTCCATTATGGCAAAGACCAAAGAGCTGTCCAAGGATGTCAGGGACAAGATTGTAGACCTACATAAGGCTGGACTGGGCTACCAAACTATCGCCAAGCAGCTTGGTGAGAAGATGACAACAGTTGGTGCAATCATGGAAAAAACACAAAACAACTGTCAGTCTCCTAGGTCTGGTGCGCCATGCAAGATCTCACCTCGTGGAGTGTCAATGATCATGAGAACAGTGAGGAATCATTCCAGAACTACACGTGAGGATCTTGTCAATGATCTTTAGGCAGCTGGGACCACAGTCACCAAGAAAAAAACAATTGGTAACACACTACGCCGACATGGATTGAAATCCTGCAGTGCCCGCAAGGTCCCTCTGCTCAGGAAAGCACATGTCCAGGCACGTCTGTAGTTTATCACTGAATATCTGAATGATGCAGAGGAGGACTGGTTGAAAGTGTAGTGGTCAGATGAGACCAAAATTAAGCTCTTTGGCATCAACTCGCCGTGTTTGGAGGAGGAGGAATGCTGCCTATGACCCCAAGAACACCATCCTAACTGTCAAACATGGTGGTGGAAACATTCTGCTTTTGGGATGTTTTTCTGCTAAGGGGACAGGACAATTGCACCACATCAAAGGGACGATGGACGGGGCAATGTACCGTCAAATCTTGGGTGAGATCCTTCTTCCCTCAGCCACGGCATTGAAAATGGGTCGTGGATGGGTGTTCCAGCATGACAATGAAACCTAAAACACATAGCCAAGGCAACAAAGAAGTGGCTCAAGAAGAAGCAAATTAAGGTTCTGGAGTGGCATAGCCAGTCTCCAGACCTTAATCCGATTAAAAATCTGTGGAGGGAGCTGAAAGTTTGAGTTGCCAAACATCAGCCACCTTAAAGACTTAGAGGATCTGCCAAGAGTTGTGGGCCAAAATACCTCCTGAGATGTGTGCAAACCTGGTGGCCAACTACAGGAAATGTCTGACCTATGTGATTGCCAACAAGGATTTGCCACCAAGTACTTAGTCATGTTTTGTGAAGGGGATCAAATACTTATTTCCCTCATGAACATGCAAATCAGTGCATAATTTGTTGGACATGCATTTGTTTTGAATTTTTTGTTGCTATTCTGTCTCTCAGTGTTACAATACACCTACTATTCGATTTTAAGACTGATCATTTCTTTGTGAGTGGGCAAATATTCAAAATCAGCAGGGAATAAAATACTTATTTCCTTCACTGTATACAATGCAACTGTAAATGAGATAAGTAAATAACACCAATATTGGCCACCTCCACTGCTCAAGGCAAGTTGTAAATATCAACAAAGTACCTGAAATAAATAATAAATAAAAAAGTGGGCACCATTGATTACACTCTATTGATGTTTAAATGCCTAACCTGAATGGCCACCTGTATCTTGCCAACCAAGATAACCTTCAGCACATTGCAGCTCATACGTAGTGTCTTGAACACTGCACTTCTGGCAAATTCAACCAGTTTTTTCCTATACTTGCTGAAAATGTTCTTAGTTCAAAATATCTTTTTTTTTTTTTTTTTTAAGTAGAATTTTACCCATAACAGCTTTATAAAACAATATTCTTTTAGCAAGAGACATACAATACATTCCACATGTATGCAGTAAAGAAAATCGCTATTCCCCCATCAACACAGTCAGTGTTGATTGGGTAATCCCTCCAGTGGAGCTATTGTATTCTTTTAACCAGGTCAGGAGAACTGTGAGAACACTAGGAGAACAGTGATTATTGCTAGCAGCTATAGCTGCTGACAATAATCGCATAAAAAAAAAAAACCGCACAGGCTGGTTGTACTAAAGTGGTACAGCAATCAAATTGGGTATAATCAGTCTGCCCATAGATGGTTTGAATCTTGATTGGTCCTTGCTGAACTGGCTGAGATTCCAAATATCTATGGCCAGCTTTAGTCTCAAAGGCTATATATCACTTTCTGTAAACATATGTGCATTTCCAGACTGGATAGTATGTCTTCCTTAAGCTAGACTGGAAGGCTGCAGTAGCTGACAGTGCTCATGTTCACAGCTGCCATGCCATGCCAGAGATAATATCAGGGAGATAAGATAAGACAAGACAAGACACTGTCCTTGTAAGAGTAACTATTTTGTGTTTCCAAGGCAGGAGAATCTGTCCTGTCACCTCACCAGCTTTTATTTTCTCCTTCCCTGATCTGTCCTTCCTTGGCACAGTCTGTGTTATTCCTGTTGCTTCCTTCTCCTTAGAGTGTTTTTAAAGCCTGAAGGTTAGTTCACACTACATGCATTTCAGTTGCTTTTTTCTGCATTCAAAATGCACAGAAAGTAGGTTATATGGTTGTCAGTGTCATAGTTCACACCAGTGCTTGCAGTTCCAGTGCGTTCAGTTGCACAAAAAAAAGAACATGCTGCATTTGTTCTGCACAGAACTGTACTCGAACACAGTAAAACGTATAAAAAAAAAGCACGGGAACACACATGCCTCTATTTACATAAAAAAAAAAAGAGGTGAAAAATTAACTGGAATGCATTAAAAAATACACTGGAACGCATCAAAAACACACCGGAACGCGTCACAAACGCGCATGCGGAAACACATCCAGAATGCTTTTGGACGTTTCTTTAGTGTGAACCGGCCCTGAAGGTTTTTTTTATAAGATAAGATACCAAAAAAAAAAAAAAAAAAACTTTAAATATGCAGCTTCCACTACATCTTCCCTCCTAATACTTACTCAACCCAATCCTGATTCAGCGATGTTCATGAGAGCGGCTGCTGTCTCGCCTCTTTTTCCTGATTGACTCAGAGACAGCCGTTAGTAATAGCCAGTGAGGGCGGATCAAGGGCACCCTGCAAATAGGATCAAGGGCAGGGCTGAGCCCTGTTTTGTTTGTTTTATTGACACACCCAGCAGGGCTCGGGAACGCACATGCATGAGTGCCCCCATAGCAAGCGGGGGGGGGGGGGGGGGGGGGTTAGCAGGGGACGCTCAGCAAGGGGGAGATACCCAGAGGGTACAGAGCAGATAAATGTAACATGTTTGCTATTAAAATAATAGCATTTATTATCACTTTCATTATCAGTAAATCTGAAGGCTGTCAGCTAACTGGCTCTTGATTGAGGCTGTGCAGAGCAGGATGAGACCATGCGTTACTGGATTTGAAACCGCATTGGCACTTATTTTTAATGGTTTACGTGGCTGTACTTACAAAAGGGGCCAGCCTGAAGTGATCTATTAGAACTACTTTTTATGACTAAAAATCCACTTTAGGGACACATGTAAAGAATAACTTGTGTATAGTCAATCTGCAATTGTATGGGGCTGATTTATAAACTTTTTTTTTTTTGTATTGCTTTGTATATGGAATGCAATTATTGTGAATGATGTTAGTTCTGCAAGTGACCTCCCTTTTGGCATGTGGTCGTGTGTATAAAACCATTTTTGTTTATTAATTTTGTAGAAGGTTTTAAATATGCTTAATAATGATTTTGTTTTTTCATTGATCTTAAATCTTTGAACTTCTAAAGCAGGATATTATTTTTGTGGAGTAATTTTTTTTCAGGCATCAGTTTGCGATTAGACTATGTAACACATTGATGCAGTTTATGAATTCTTTGTCTCTCCTTCTGAATCTTTGGTAGCTCTCTCTCCCTCAGATTCGATTAAACAGGCTGCTGACCATAGACACAGACTTGCTAGAGCAGCAGGATATTGACCTAAGCCCTGACCTGCAAGATCAGATGCAGCCACAGGAGCAGGCACCCACAAAGTGAAACACTACTACCGCCTCTGGATACTGCCCAAGTTGTGGGTTGGTATCAACTTTGACAGGCTGACACTCCTGGCCTTGTTTGACAGGTAAGGAGACTAAGAAATCACCAACCCTGCTTTCAGTTTTAGTTTTCCAAGCTTACTTGTTCTCAAGAAATGTGTAGTGTTTTACATTTTTAGAGATTCACATAAGAGATCAGCTTGGTTTAAAAAATGTGATGTACATCAGGGTTTACTTCAGTAACTACTGGTAAATTATCTGGTTTCTGCCAATCTGGAGCATATGGTGTCTATATACACTATATTGCCAAACGTATTGGGACACCCCTCCAAATTATTGGGTTCAGGTGTCCAATCACCTCCATGGCCACAGGTGTATAAAATCATCACCTAGGCATGCAGACTGCTTCTACAAACATTTGTGAAAGAATGGGTCACTCTCAGGTGCTCAGTAAATTAAAGCGCAGTACTGTGATAGGTTGCCACCTGTGCAATAAGTCCAGTCGTCAGATTTCCTTGCTACTAAATATTCCACGATGGACTGTTAATGGTATTATTACAAAATGGAACCAACTGGGGACAACAGCAATTCAGCCATGAAGTGGTAGGCCAACTGTTTAAAGTGGAGTTCCACCTGAAAAAAAAAAAAAAATACAGACGTTTGCCTGTCCAGCGGTGTCCTCACCATGGCTGGTTTCACCGGCCGTCTTCTCTCCCTGGTGCCGGCATCTTCAGTGTGGGCATACGGCTGTGACAGTTTGGGGGAAATTAAGAAACTTCCTGTTATTGAGGTGGATATAAAACTCAAGTGGATTTTGTCTTTCACTTTCCCAAAGGTCATAACATAATAAACACATGCAAGAGTTGGGGCTGTTGAAGAACAAGTGCCAGAGATTAAAAACCTTAAAATTTGTTTGCTTTTCCTCTGTGGACTTGAAGGCAAAAGAGATGAGTTTTAAGGTACTTGCACACCACTCCGATTATGGCTTAGGTTTCGGAGAATGGTGTCGCCCCTACGTTGGAGAGGTTGTGGGGAGCCTGGTACCTTTTGGGCACATATGGTTGTATTGCCCAAAAAGTATTTTGGGAAGAGATTACGAACTTCATTTAAGGTACAATAGGAAGAAAATGCAGATGGACCCCTGCAAGTTTCTGTTTCTTAGTACAGAAATGTCAGTGGCCCAGTATAAGAGATCCCTAATACTATTTGCTGAATGCAGGTAAAAGGTTGATTCCAAAATACTGGAAAACGCAAAAAACTCCTAAGTATAGAGGAATGGGCTGAGAGATAATGTATACATATGAGGATAGCAGTTATATTTGTAATTATTTGGGAAGACTGGTTACAATTTATGAAATTTGAGAAATACCTTGAGATAAAAGCTAGGGGGAGTATAAGGGTTATAAAGGTGGGCTATTTATTTATCTGATTTGTCTTGTTCTCTTTTGCCTACCTTTACTAGTGATGTATTAATATTGGTACCACATTGGGGTGCCATAAAAGAGAATTTTTTGTTTTTAAGGAATGATCCAGGGGTTTCTGGGTGGGAAGCAGAACTATGAAGGAATATGAATAGTAAATTGTTTGTATTACGGTAGGTTTCCCCCCCCCCCCCCCCCCCCCCCTTGTTGTGGTATTCCTTTCATATCATTTTAATATTGTAATAATTTTTTCTAATTTAGGAACAGGGAGATCCTAGAAAACGTGCTGGCTATCACACTTGCCATTCTGGTTGCCTTTCTGGGCTCTGTACTTCTCACAGGAGGCTTCTTCAAAGATATCTGGGTCTTCCAGTTTTGTCTTGTTATTGCCAGCTGTCAGTACTCTCTCCTTAAGGTGAGTACTCCTTTTTTTTTTTTTTTTTTTTTTTTTTTTGTCTTGGTTTGACAAGCTATAGTTTTTGTAACTCTGTATTTGTGCAGTTGGGCTTTGTCAATGTTAACTTGACTGTAATGACAATGAAGATGCCCGCAGACACTTAATGGTAGGCTAAATGGCACCCTCAGGTTATAGGTTTCAAATATATCCAGTAACTTATGTCCAGTCATTATGATGTCCTCCCAGAAGGGCTGGCTGCAGGAATGTCTTCAGAGTGTGAAGCTTTGCCTTGCCAACTCTCCTCCATTTTCCAAGTAGGAACATGTGTTACCCAAGTATTCCTTCTTTAACCTCCCTAGCAGTATTCCCTAGTGTAACTCCTGGTTAACTTTCAGTACCAAAAGCGGTAACCCCGAGCTACACTCGGGAATACCCTGCAGCGTTGCTCTGGGATTTCCTGTTTCACTTACCTTGTCCTGTGCTCCCACGATGTCCTCCCCGCAGCGTCTCCAGCCGATGCCGGCATCCGTCTTCCGGGTTTCGGTCCCTGCAAGCGTCGGGACGCACGGGGGCCGGAACCCACGGGAAATTTAAAAATGTTAAAAAGTGACATTCACTAAATACACTAAAATCACATAATAAAACATTACTGTATCAAACCATTTCACATACATTTTGTCCCTAGTGCTTTGTCCTGTGCCCTGCCTGCATTTTTACTGTTCTTTCTGCCTTGAAACTGAGAAATGTCCATGGTGTCCAAAAAGCGTCCCTTTATGTCAAAAGTGGTTTTAGACCAGCTAGAAAACAGCTATAGTAAATTAGAACCACTTGCAGAATTGAGTGATAATGATTTGTGGGGAAATCTGTCATCAGACATTGAAAATGATTTTGCGACTTTGCTCAGTGATGTGCGAACTTGGCGCTCTATTTCAAATTTCAGTGTTTTAGGTTTGTTAATATTATTGAATTAAATTTATTATTATTTTTTATGATTATTATATTTATTATAATTTATGATTTAGTGTTTCAAATTTTATCATACCCGGGATGTTTACTAGACTCTTGTTAGGACAGATTTCAGTGAGTTATTCCTAAAAATTACAGGCCTACAATAAAAATTCTCTGTTTCTGGACAGTTTCATTAACAATATTGTTGATGTTGCATAGTTAATTCAATACATATTACATGAAATAGTGTTGTATTGACTGTGCGTAATTTTAGAAGCTATTATGCTAAATACACCAGCAGGAGTCATGGAAGTAAAGTATTCATAAGCTGGAATTACCAAAAATGTGAGGGATATGGAAAGGAACATGCCTTTGTTTCAGTATTGGAATGTCAGAATCATCTGTGAAACGTTTTTTTTTATTTTAACTGGAGAACACATGTTAAAGGAACAATTGAAGACTTGTATGGTGTGAACTAACTTGGCTCAGTAGTAGAATATGTATGTATGTATAATATGCATATGTATTAATATCTAATAAATATTGTTAAGCACTAGTTGACATTTCTAGAAATTTTAAGAGTAAAATTTAAAAAGCTGAACTCTAGATGTCCCCTCTACTTCATATTGGTTATTTTCTTTCTTTTAAGACCCAGGTTTGCTGCTGCCAGACAGCTCCAGACATTATGGTCTGCAGGTCCAGATGTTCTGACCTTTTTTTATGTTCATTACATTGGTGTGCTGTCTTGTCAACCAATCATACTGTGCTACATAGAAATTCTGTGGTCAAACTTTGGTATAAAAATGGCCTGTGAGCCCTCTTTCTTCAAATAAGTCTTTTACTTGTTCCCAGCTGCAGCTATTATCAATAAAAGCCTGATGTTTTGAAGCTTCTGCTGGGTCTAATCTGTCTTTTCTACTTCAGCTCTTGAAACAGGTGCAAGTCATATATTCTTGTCCCCTCACTGGTTAAAAGATCTTCTTTCCATCTCATAGTTTTGTTATTGGTTGTTTCAGCTGACAACACACCTAGTCTTCATTTACACTAGCAATGCTCTCTGGAGAGCGATCCACATTCAGATAGCGCTTTAGAATGCATTTAACAGGTTGTGAGTAGGCCTGGCATTGCTTCCTCACCATCTGTTTTAACCCCCTGAACCAGCGTGTCTTAACAGCGTGCACTATACATGATTGCAGGGCACCCCCATTCAGTAAAATGGGTTGCATTTAGTTATCTGTAGTGCCGCCATGGTGGGGATCATTTTGTATACACTCCACCATTGCATTTACAGCATAAGTGGCAGTGATTAGGTAGCAGTAAAACCGTAGCTTAACTGCTTGGTATTAGCACCTCCTTACCTCAAGTGTAAATGTGGCCCAACACAGTACGGTCAGTATTCAAACAGCAAGTAGTGTAATCATTTTATCATGGGACTATTGTTGAAAAATACTGGAGAAAATCTTTACTCCTCCCAAGTGTTTTGCTCAGCAATATTTTATTGAGGAAGATTTATTTAAAAAGTGGGCCATCCACACAATATATCTGGCTATTTTCTGTCTTAACAAGGCATCCTAGTGTTTAACGATATGGTGGCGACTAGAAGCCCATTCCAGGGCTCTTTCCTCTTATGTTCATTATCTGACACAGCATCTTTTATTTTCAACCATAGGGTTAAAGTGCCACCTACAGAAGTAGGACACTAGACTGAAAAGAGAAACCCGGCACCACCTATGGGCAGTCCTGGCTGATATAAACCTCTCTGCATAGGCAATCCATTGGGTGAAGATGTAGGAGTTCCAGTTGTCAGTCAATGCCCTGGAACCTTAGGCGATCAGGCTCTGCCTGAAGCAGTGGACAGAGAATCTTCAGGGGCACTGAATCCAGCCGAACAGTGCCATGGCTGTGACCTATGTCAACCACCAACGTAGAACAAGGAGTATGGCAGCATTGCTGTACATCTCCCGCATCCTCAGGCGGGCAGATCGTCATGTGCCAGCACTCTTCTCCGTGCATATTGCTGCCATCGACAACTAGCAGACGGACTACCTCAGCCGTCAAATGTTGGACCAAGGCGAGTGCTCTCCGCATCCTGATGTGTTTCCCTAGATTTGTCTGCGGCAGTGCACTCCGGATGTGCATCTCCTAGTGTCTCAAGAGGAAGGTACCAAGATTCGTGGCCAGGGCGAGGGATCCTTTGACAGATGCAATGGACACCTTGGTGACGTTGTGGAGTCAGTATCCTCTTATATTTGCGTTCCCTCTTTTCAAGCTTCTACCCCACCTGCTGTGAAGAGTAGAGGCTGAAGGCATTCCGGTCTTTCTGTTGGCTCTTGATTGACCCCATTGCCCCTGGTATGCTGACATGATACGGCTGATCGTGAATGCCCCTTGGTGTCTGCTGCTCATGGCACACCTTCTGTCTCAAGGACTGATCTTCCACCCTGCTTCCACCTGCTGGCTTTAATGGCTTGGCTATTGAAAGCCGGGTTCTAAAGGGCAGGGGACTGTCGGAGTCCGTTATCCCTGCCATGCTGAATGCACGAAAGTCTACTTCCAGGAAGATATACCATTGCACCTGGAATGCTTATATCTCGTGGTGTGAAGCTGCAGGTGTTCATCCACGTTCCTTTCTCGGTGGCTGGGATAATGGCTTTTCTGCAACGGGGTGTTGAAAAGAAGTTGGCAGTAAATACCGTCAAGGTTTCTGCTCTCGCCGGTTTCTTTCAACTAAAAAAAAAAAATCAAGAAGACATCTTCAGCGCTCCAGAGACGTAGATCCGGAACAGGTGGACAAATCGTCCTTCGTAGAACCCGTCCACCAAGGGATCAAAGGTTGTGCAGCCCTT